CGAATCTTTTAGTGAGCTGCTCCTGTGTCAAAGGGGTCTGTTCTCGGATATAGAGTGTTGAACCCATTCAATTTATATTATTGAGATACACTTGTAACGTCCTCGGATGTGAGTGTGTGTGTACTCGGTTGTTGGTGTTTACCATGCACAAAGTCCCCAATTGTCGGTATTAAAACATAAATTATGCGTCCTCGGTTGATCACATTAATAATAACTGTTCTATCGCTAAATTGTGCCATACATCAATTTTAAACAGTTATATTGTATTTTTTCCCATGTGTGGTCCGGGGGGGGGGGGGACAAAAACGTAGTTCTTTACAGATTAAAGACCACAATAAGTGTCAAGACCACAGTATGATAGTATAGAAATGAAATGAAATGGGGTTTAACGTCCTACTGTTCTGCTTCTATTCTGGGCTAATGAAGACGGGCATACGCCATTCAGTGTGCCATGAGGGAAATTTTGCCCGGGCAGCGGCACTATCGCCTACTCTTATATCGAATTCCAACTGCCAAATGATCCTTTACGTGCATTCCAATGTTTACACGGGACCTCGGTTTTTCGTCTCATCCGAAGGACTAGACAGCTGTCCTTGTCAGGCCCTCCGTCCTGCATGACTGACAAGGGACCTCGTTTGGCAGCGTTCTCATACTTACACCATGCATGTCTTCCATTAGGCGTGACTAGCATAGGGACTCGGTCGGTCGTATTTCCTCAATTATTTGCATTTCTGCCGTAAAAAGTCAAATGCATAAAATATATAAATTGAGGTATAATTTATATCTTTTCATAATCGTTTAATGTAATAGAGTTCATAAATAACGGTGCTTTTCAGCTACATGCAATATTTATCAAGACCTCGATTAGGAGAATCCAGTCAAAGTCCTCGATTTACACCATTTACATGTATATGTGTGTGTGTCTGTTGGTCGCCTACAGGGCGCAATTCTTACTCGATTTTCTTCAAACTTTGTATACATATCCCTTATACCCTACGGATGATCCCTATTGTTTTTTGATGTATGCCCGACCCCAGGGACAGAGCCACACACATTTTATGTATTTGTTTGTTTGTCGTCTACAGACGGCATTTCTTAACGTATCATTTTGAAACTTTGCATACTTTTTGTGTGTCGCCTACAGGCCATAATTCTTAAGTGATCATCTTGAATCTCTACATACTTATTCCTTATACCCTAAGGATGATCCCTATGAGCCACGCCCATTTCTTTTATTTGTTTGTTTGTCGTCTTCAGGCCGCAATTCTTAACGTATCATGTCGAAACTTTGCATACTTATTCTTTGTACCCCAAGGAACACCCCTATCGTTTGGGGTGCATGCCAACCCCAGGGGCAGAACGCCCATTTCCTTTTTTGTGTCTGTGTCGCCTACAGGTCACAATTCTTAATCGACCGTCTTGAAAAAATTCCATATGAATTCCTTATACCCTAAGGATGATCCCTATTGTGTGGCAGAGCCACGCCCATTTCTTGTATTTATTTATTTGTCATCTACACCTTGAAACTTTACATACTTATTCCTTCTATCCTAAGGAAAATCCCTATTGTTTGTGGTGAATGCCCCCCCCCCCCCAGGGATAGAGCCGTTAGGATGACCAGAGATCAAGCACCAAACAAAATTTTCAATGTGAATGTAAATCAAGCTGCACTACAGATAGATGTATTTGTTACAAGTGAAAACTTTCTTCTATGGATTTGTGTATATTGTTCAAATATAAAGGTGACAGCCAAACATATGCTTACAGTGACATTGATTTTAATAGTGATGATGATATTGATGAAATTATGTATTTTTTATAAGTAGGCCTACGCCTGTATTTTTACACAAAAACACATACTTATGGAAAAAACAGGTACTTATTTATTTGGGCGACGTTTCGAAGAGTATTCTCTCAACGTTATCAAGCTAATACAGTAATGCAAGAATTATGAGATCAATATATACAGAAAAACTATAACAACAATTCATGAAACCATACAGGACAACAAGATCAAAGGGGTTTATTCTACAAAAAACTAATTAAGTGTTAAGTGAGGCCATTGGGTATAGTTTAAGCAATTAAGTAGCTATGATGATAGATACAATACTACCGACAGTATAGTACCTACAATACAATTATGATATACCATGGTTTGTTTAGATAATGGTAATTAACTTTATTTATCTGTATGATTAAGTGTACAATTAGACTAGAATAAACCATAAGTTGTAATAAATCTAAGAAATAGAGTGGATATAACTGATAAGTTGATAATAATATTAGAAAAATGAAAAAAATAAAACTAATAAAAAATGAAGAATTTAGGTGTATTTGATAAGTTCATCATAAGCACTAGGCAGGAATATCCCTGTGTCGCGGTTGGGGTCTGGACTGTTTCTTTTTATTTGTATGGCCTCAATAATTTTGCGGGTTTTTTCTATCGGAAGGTTGGCTTTGATCTTGCTTGATAACGTTGAGAGAATACTCTTCGAAACGTCGCCCAAATAAATAAGTAGCTGTTTTTTCCATAAGTATGTGTTTTTGTGTAAAAATACAGGCGTAGGCCTACTAATAAAAAATACATAATTTCATCAATATCATCATCATCATCCGACGGTTTCCCCTTGTCAGTGGTGCAGGCGGAGGGGCTGACAAGGTACAGGGACAGCAGTCTAGTCGAGGTCCCGTGTATACATTGGTGTGCACGTAAAAAGATCCCTTGGTAGTTGGAATTCGATATAAGCGTAGGCCATAGTGTTGTGCCCGGGCAAAATTTCCCTCATAGTACACTGTATGGCGTATGCCCATCTTCATTAGCCCAGTACATGTATAGGAGCAGAGCAGTAGGACGTTAAACCCCATTTCATTTCTAATTCATTTTACTAGAACCATTTTGCTTAGGTAATTACTGTTTGTTTTTCTCTTATATGTACTTTTATTTACTGGTTGGTATATATCTTTTAATTTGGTACAGTGTATAGCGGAACAAGACCTGATCTGTGTATAAATACATGTATTCTGTGAATATAAGAACCTGAACAGCACATTAGAAACCGTTCTCCAGTATTAATACACTTTATAAATGCTGATGTTATTATTATTATTATTATTATTATTATTATTATATACATTTTTCATTAATACTAGTGGTGTATGGTATTGTTGTGTACGAGGAAATTTATATAATTTGCAATTTGTTTATTTTTTTTTTTATCTCTTTCTTTAAATAAATATACATATCTTTTACCCTCTTATAGGGGGGTTGGGTTGCCGAATGGGTAGCATGTGCGCGCTGTATCATAAGGTCTGTCCACTGGCGTGGTTTAGATTCCACGGTTGTACGTGACAGGGAGAAGGGTTGCCTGTCCAGCCTCATGGGTTTTCTCCGGGTCCTCCGGTTTCCTCCCACAGCTAAAGACCACTACACGCAAGCGAATTATTGGAATAAAATGGAACCATGCGTTATTCCAGAAAATACCTAGTTTGTGTCGAGTGGAAGTGACCCCCCTCTCTCTCTCTCTTCGCCGTCTTCACCGTGTCAATGCAATATTTAACAGGTGGTATTATCCAGTAATCCCGGCATATTTGCAGAGAAGTTCTCTCTGACAAATGTAAACAAGCCAACGTGCTACGACTCATAAAAGGTATTCACTGGTCTATTTATGGCTATTGACCCGTGACCCTATGACGATCTTTGCTTTTATAGTTTCTGATTGGCTAAGAATTTGATTTTTTTACCCGATTATGGCTACACTTGACAAATATAGTTCGAGACGTAATTCGAGTGCAAGAAGTATTGTGCAATGCATCGGAAAAGAAATGTATGCGACAGTGACGGCCTACTGGTTTACTCATGTAACAAAGCGTCAGATTTTCATCCGGAATTTGCTGGGACGAGATGAAACGATTTTCGGGGCTAAATCACAGCCTAATTATTCTGACGAATTTTACGCCCAATAATTTCCCTGATATGCTCAAATGGATTCAGGTCGGCGCTCCAGGTTGGTCATGGTAGTGTAGCAACGGTCTCCTGTCGTAGAAAATCAACAATGGCACGCGAACGTTGTAATCTAGAGATGGCGTCCATAAAGATTGGCCATGTGAGAAGAGGGTGATTCTCAAACTGGCGCACTACAACCTTTTCTATGATCTATGGAAGAGGCGATAAACTGCGGTTGCAAGAAATTGATTTTTGGGCAAAAAACGTTTTATGGGGCTAAAAATGCGTTTTTGAAAAAAAAAGGTTCTTGCAACCGCATTAATCAGCTCTTCCATACGTGCTAGGTATTAGTATTCTATGTATCCTGGCACAATTTTTATTTTTTTGGACCATTTTATTTTGTCTGTTAGTGGTTACCCACCGCACAAATTGTCTGGCAGTGGTCATTTATGATTCCCGTCGTGATACTGAACAACTCCAAAGCTGTTTTAGGTGGTACAGATTTCAGCTAATCTAGCCTAACTGTGGTCTGGAATACTCACCACTACAAATGTCTGGCAATTACATAGCTCTGTCGGGGGTACTCCACCACTAGAAATGTCTGTCAGAGTGTTTTTGTAATACCTGAAGATGTACGTTACACTGCTGTACGATTTTCATGTGGTACATTTTTGAGCTAATCTAGCCTAGTTGGAGGGCATTGCATTTTGGGCGTGTAATACCACACCCACCACCAGAAACCTAGCAGACTTACATTTTGATGATACCAGATATACATGCATTGATATGATATACAGGAGAAAATTGGTTCACTTTTCAGCTAGGTTTACCCCCTGGGCTCCCGCTCTATACCCGCGCTCTGCCATCCGTCATGGATAAGAAAAGGACACTCTCATCCGACCAGTGAATTATTCGCCATGTCCCATTGATGGCGTGCTCGGAACCATGCCAGTCGTATTGCTTCCTGTAACGGGGCAAGAGGGCTTGACGATAATGAATGACCGGCAAAATCTAGGAATTCTCCTTTAATTCGATTGATTTGAAAAATAAATATTACCATTTCTTGTTTCTGCGAACCTATAAAAGAGAGTAGAATGATTCTTATAACAAAGATAAAACAAAACGACGACTTTCATTACCGTTTCGTCACCGACAACCTTGGCATGTGATACTTCCCCTTAACAGTATTATATAATATGATGATAATTTCAGACCGTATATCTTGCCATGACCCGTTCTTTCACGAGATCTATACTATATTTAGCTTACTCGCCACCGTGGATTATTATTTAGACAAATTAGATATCGAAATGATAATGTAATTGGGGTTAAACGTCCTACTTTTCCCCACCAACCGGGCTAATGAAGACGGGAAATTATATATCAAATGAACATTTGACATCAGTAGTTGACCGGCAGATTAAGATAATTATTATTTGTGGGACCGATGGCGAATCACATCTAGGCGTTCCGATGTGACGACACTGTACAAACTGATAATAGATGTCCCTTGAGAAAAGGCGTCGATTTTGTGATCATTAATATATTTATAAATATGTACCTTGGTCTTTTTTCACATCAGAAATTGTGGACAATAAGCGAGTCATCTGAAATTTAAAAAAATCAAAGCAAAATGGGTATCTCTGTCTGCAAGTGACAAAAGGACCGTCTATATAAAAACAAAGCCACAATATTTTTATTTTTGATCTGAAAGAGGGCTTGAACTTTTTTTTACTTAAATTTGAATAACATGTAACAATTTTCCAAATTTAAATTTAAAATTAGGTACAATAAAGCTAGATAAGTCTAAATATCTGATAGTGAATCTGTTGTTTTTTTCCTAACAATATTTATTGCGCTTCATAATTTAATTAATCGCGAGATTTTTTTTATTATCGTAACAACGGTAGCAATGACAATCGTGACTACACTGTTTTGTAATTGACGATAGCTCTGCTCAGAATGAAGTAAATTTACTGAAATGTTCCATGTTCTCTTTTCATTATCTATTTTCTTTTTAAATATTATTGCGAAAGCTGTCAGCTCTTTATTTTAATGTTACATAATGCATGTTTAATTTGTAATTGTTAAAAAATGAAAAACGGAGTACTTTTTTCTATGCATCGGTATCTTATTGTTGTGTAAATATTTGCCATTAATATTGTTCTAACAAGAAAGGTATTCTCTAGAAATTCGGATGAAAAAAGAACCTGTACATAGCATGTACTTGAAAGAACATGTATGTAAAAGAAACATTCACTGAAAAAAAACTTGTGTTGTTTTCAACACAAGTTAGCTGTCTCTGTTTAACAACACAAACTTGTGTTGAAACAACACAAACTTGTGTTGAAACAACACAAACTTGTGTTGAAACAATACAAACACAACACAAACCTGTGTTAAATGTCGAAACAACACAAAACTTGTGTTAAAATTTGTCAAACAACACAAACTTGTGTTGAAACTTGTGCAAAAATCTACACAATACTTGTGTTGAAATTTCTGAAACTTGTGTTGAAATTGTTGAAATTTCTGAAGCTTGTGTTGAAATTTCTGAAGCTTGAAACTTGTGTTGAAATTTCTGAAGCTTGTGTTGAAATTTCTGAAGCTTGTGTTGAAATTTCTGAAACTTGTGTTGAAACTTGTGTGGTTTCAAACAAACTTGTGTATAACCATCAACAAAAACTTGTGTAGTATTTCCCCCCAATTTTTATCCAGTATAGCAATCTTTCCCATTCAACACCCCTCCTTTTGCTCTGTTTAACCTGTAAAGTTTGATAAATGAAGTAACAATAATTATTTTTGTTAAATTATCATTTATTCATAAAATGATAGGAAAAAGTAAATTAATACCACCAAATCAAAACTAAATAGACATTTGGAATATTAACAGAAAAACAGAAATAATATTAGTAAAATTGTGTTATATAGTGACAAAATCCCCCCACCTTCACAAAATATAAAATAGGTATTTAAATTTTTCTTTACCCTAAAACAAGTACTGAGAATATAAAGACATGTGAGGCATCTAGAAATAACTAGCATACACAGAAAACTAACAAAAGAAAAATGCACTATTTTGCAGGAGTAATAAAATGATGTAGAACCCTTTCCTCATTAAAAAAGACAAACAAAATGAATATTTTGTACATAAAAGGAGCAAAGCATCAAGATTCAAGATTAAAATATAAAAATATCAGAGAAAATGGCAAATATTAAATAATATGTACAAAATATTTATATACAATTACAAGTCATAAGCAGGGGGGTGGGGGGCAGTGAGTATAAGGCTTTGGTCGAGAAATTTCAACTGGATTTCCCAGTATAGATCCCCCAAGTAAGTAGTGTAGGACATGGCATAGGGACAATATATAGTCGTTCGGATAGGACAATAAACCTAGGTCTCATATACACATTGCCATGCATTTTAAAGAGAGAGCGAGAAATGAGGTTTAGCCTCCACTCGACACAGGCTGGGTCAATTGGGTACAAGCCCGGTTCAAAACCACCCCCACTGCGTTCACTTTAAAGAACCCGTGACAATTGAATTATTTGACTCAATGACAGACCTTCTGATCCAATGTGCGCGTGTTAACCATTCGCCTCCCCCTGGGTTCCGTTAAAAGAACCCTTGACAGTCTCTATTTTGTTACAGCTTTGCATAAAACATATCATGTTTTGTCCAGTTACAAACCCAGGCAGATTATTATGCTCAAATGGGTCAGAAGTCAGAACAAATGTCTTGAAATTTGGGATTAAAGTCAAATAATAGGGCCGCTATTCACCCAGATCAAACATGCATTATGTCTCCAAATCTAGATTCCCTACACTTGAAATAGCACAATACTAGGCATTGCCATAAGAAGAAAAGCAAGCCAATACACCCCTAGGACCATCTAGAAAAAAGAGCTAAATTTTGGATGTTTGGGTTTGGCCCGGTTCACTGATTTTTAATTGCCTGGAATGCTATTCTAAACAACATGTCCAACTTGAGTGGCATTATTGGCCTGATATAAATAGTTCAGTTAGATAAGTGTTGATAGCTATAAACCTGCCATTGTGAGTATCAAATGACAACATTTTAATTTCTAAAATAAAAAGCTCTTTTTATATATAACATTTTTATTAACAGCTTAACACTAATTATATACAAATTACTCAATATGACACTTGAAGGATTTAAGTTAGTCAGGAACAAATGACGAACGAACATCTAATCGTCACTTGAATTAATAACTGCAATATTAGAACTCTGTTTTGATTTAAAGGTAAGTCTCTTTATTTATTGTATGTAAAATGTTTTTACTTTATTTCGGGAGTCATGATGGCTCAGTGAGGTAAACACTGGCTCGCTAACCTGGAGGTCCCATGTTCGATCCCTGCGTTGAGGAAGAAAGTTGATTGGGATTATCCGGAGTGGTTCCTCCTTGTCAGTGGCGCGAATGAGGGCCTGCCAAGGGATAACGTATAGTCATTCGGATTGGATGAAAAACCTGTGTACACATTGGAGCAAAAGTAAAAGATCCCATGGCAGTTGGAATTCAATATAGGAGTAGGCTGTAGAGCCGGTGTCTGGGCAAATTATAGCTCAAAGCACACTGTATGGCGTATGCCCGTCTTTATTTGCCAGATCGGAGCAAAACTATGGAATGTTCCCCCCGCCCCCTATTTCATTTTATTTATGTTTTTATATTGTATGAATTTTGTAAGTGTAAGAATAAGATTTGATATTGATTAGATAGTTATTATAGCATCGGTATATTTCTACTTTATACCAGCTATTTAAGTAAAATAACCTTTTTTTTAATTTCATTGATTTATATCACAATTCTACTAAGCCAATGGGTATGATTTTAATATAGATACACTTTTAACATAAATCTTCTTGTCAATTTCCTTCACGTTTTGATCAGTTCTTTTAAATGCACTTAAGACATTGTGTTTCTTCAGTTTAATGTTATCTGTTTTCATACAGTTTGCTTTTAGTAAAGAAAAGAAATCTTCAAAATCAACCCATACTCCCCTTTCATCTTCAAAGGCAGGTTGAATATTTTCGAAGCCAGACACTTTAAAAACCATTTTATCCTAGGGAAAAATATAACAATGTTTTAATTATAGTACTATAAACCTGCTATTTCGTTTCGTTTGATAAATGAGGTAACAATAATTTTATTTGTTAAATTATCATTTATTCATAAAATGATAGGAAAAAGTAAATTAACACCACCAAATCAAAACTAAATAGACATCATTTGAAATGTTAACAGAAAAACAGAGATATAATTCTAATACTAATAAAAATTTTGTTATACTTTGCTCCCTCCCCCACATCACAAAATACAAAGTAGCTATTTAATTTTTTCTTTACCCGAAAACAAGAACTGAGAAAAGAAAGATCCCTACCCCATACCCCAAAAATATATAATTCAAATATATCTAAATTTAATAACATCCAAACCAAGCCCTAATTAGATTAATTATGCACTAAATTGAAATACTTTCAGAAACTGAAAAGTGCTACAATAAAATGATGTAGAACCTTTTCCTCATGAAAAAAAACAACAAACAAAATGAATATTTTGTACATAAAAGGAGCAAAGCATCAAGATTACAGGATTGAAAAATAAAAAAATATCAGAGAAAATCGCAAACATTAAATAATATGTACAAAATATATATAAATAATCACAAGTCAAAAACAAGGAGGAGTCAATGTGGTTCAGTGAGTATAAGGCATTGGCCGAGAAATTTCAATTGGATTTTCCGACATAGTTCCCACACGTCAGTAGTGTAGGACATGGCAAGGGATAATTGGGTATAAGCCCGGAATTGAAACTACCCCCACTGCGTTTACTTTAAAGAACCTTTGACAATTGAATTATCTGACTCAATGACAGACCTTCTGATCCAATGTGCGTGTGTTAACCATTCGGCCCTCCTGGGCTCCCTTTAAACAACCCTTGACAGTTGAAATATTTGATATAAGAGTAGGTTGTAGGGCAGAATCACCATATTAACACAGAAAAGTAGGAACTTAAACCCTATTTCATTTCATAAGCAAGGGAAAGTCACCTTAATGTAGGTCAAGGTTTTTTGTAATTCTGGGTATATTTGATCTACATTTGGTTTCTAGATTATGCCTATTAAATACTTTATGATTTCCGACCAAATTCTAAGTGATTAATATGTCACTTTACATTCTATATTATACATAAATTTCTGTAGAGAATTAAAATCTAATTGTGTTTGGGAAGAATATTTAACAGTAAAAACAATAAATAAATATTCAAAAATTGGGTCAAATGCATTCTTTTCCAGAATTTTAAAATAAATTGATGCTTGGGATCTCTTGTTGTTATCATACATCAAATAATCTTCCAGCCTAAAAAATAAAAAGTAGGCAATAAGAATACTTTCTTACTATTTATGGTTCACAATGTTTAAATAAACAATTTATTTTGCCACATCAGACTGAGTCTCTATTTTGTTTCATCTTTGGGTAACACTTATTGTGTCTTGTCCAGTAACAGACCCAGGCAGATTATTATATTTTATTTCCATCGACAACAAATTGGATATTACCTATTAAAATCTATTTGAAAAGTAA